AAAAAAAAAAAAATAACTATTAGCAAAAGTGACAATTAGGAAAATCTGAACACTGTATTTGGTAATATTAAGGAACTAAACCTTTTTGGCATAAAGGTTTGTTTTAGAATGACAAACTTAAAGTTTATGAATGATAGTTATATCTAAGACTTCTTTCAGAATCATTCAGTGGTACCCAGATTGTGAGGGAAAAACAACAAAGGAGTAAATAGTGGGGTAGAGATGAAAATAAATTGCTAGTTGATAATCACTGAAGCTGAGTGATGGATATGTGGTATTTATGATATGTTATCTCTCCTGTTGTGTATGTTTGATTTGAAATAATTTTTAAAAATTCCTTTGGGTGCTTAAAAAAATAAGGATGCATACCCCCTTCCCAAGATTCTGATTTATTGACTAGGATAGGGAATCAATTTTTAAGAGCATGCCAGAGGACCTAATGTATACCAAGAGTTAAGACCTACTGCTTGCTTGCTTGCTTTCCTGTCCTGCCTTCCTTCTTTCTTTCCTTCCTTCTCTTTTTTCTCCCTTTTTTCCTTCCTTCTCTCTTCCTTCCTTGTTTCCTGTCCCTCCCTCCCTCTCCCTCTTTCTCTCTTTCTACCAGGACCACAGTATTTTAAGTCAATGATAGAATTTGAATGACATTAACCTCTCTCTTGTTTTACTGTGTTGTCCAGGCTGGTCTTAAGCTCATGGGTTTGATCCTCCTGCTTCTGTCTTCCCCACAGCTGTGGTTACAATTGCTGTGCCACTTTTTCCTGATGTGATACTATGTTGTTTTTCAGGTTTTTCTACCAGTACATTTGGAGGAGTTGGGATGAAGAAGAAGACGATGAATATGATTATTTTGTCAGATGTGTTGAACCCCGATTGAGATTGTAAGTGTTTCTTACAATTTTTGCAGGGAAAAGCCATTCTATACAAGATATGAAAATTAACTATGTAACCCAAATAATTGTTCTAACATCTGTATAGTAAGTGGTGCTTTAAGACGACTAGTTTTTTTCTTATAGTCATGTACAGTAAGTTCTACTTAGCCTTTACAATTTTTTCTATTATCCTTCACTTATATTTTCCTATAGTATATCATTAAAATGCCAAAATTTTAGTAAGTCTGAATATTTTCTAGATTTGATAATGCTTGTTCTTAAATGATTGGTTTTGATTGAAGTGAAATGTAAATATCATATATATATCTGAAAAAGTCAGTCTTATCTTGGATTAAAAATTGTGTTCTGATTTGACAGCCTTGCATATGCCAGTAAGACATGATTTACATACATACTTTATGTAGTGCTGGCAAATGGAAAAGAATAAAAGAAATTGTTTTCTGCTTTGGGAAAGAAACTGTGGCACTTGATGGAAAAATAGGAATGTTTTCAAATATAGATAAATCTCAAAAGGTCCCTGGGCTAAGATAAGAATAGAGCTACCAACAGGTAGGATTTAAAAAGAATCAAACCACTGTGACCTGATTTACACTGTGAAGTGAGTTTCTCTCCTTTTTAATTCAGAGCACACTATTTAAAAACTTAGAAGTCTGAGACATGTTGGTTCATTGTTTCCAGTGTATGAAGTGTCTATATAATGAGAAGAAAAAAATTGATTAGCATGGGTTTTAGAAGTGCTAAAGTATAGAGCCAGTGAGATAGCTCAGTGGTCTAAGTGCATGCTTAGGACTGGAGTTCAATCCCCAGCACCACTTGCCTTGCCAGCCCCACACCAGGGCGTGCTAAACAAGCTATCGAGTCAGGGCATGATGGCACATGCCTGTAATCCCAGCGCTGAGGAGGTTTGTTTTGGTTTTTGTCTAGGTGTCCCCCCAAAGCCTCATGCAGTGTTGGGGTGGCTTCTGGAGTTTGTGATTGATTATCAGGGGTGTGGATGGTGCACTTGCCCTAGGGCAGGTAATTTGCATTTCAGTGTGAGGAGGAAAGAGAAGTTAGCTGCTTGAGCTGCTGCTGCTACCCCTCCCTTGCACTTTTGCTTTTTGCAGCCACCAAGAAAGGTTGCTTTCTGCTACATGCTGCTCTGCCTTGGACCTAATTGAATATGGACTGAAACTTCTAGTAACTGTGATAAATAAACCTTTCCTTCCCTCAATTTGGGTGTTGGGTATTTGTCCCAGCAATGAGAGAAGAGTAACTAAGACAAGGTTGAAAGCAGGAAGATCACTACAAGTCCAAGCTGCCTAGTGAGACCCTGTATACACATACATACATACATACATACATACATACATAGAAAAGAAAAACTAAAGTGCTGAGTATAATGGTGCACATTTATAACCCAGTGCTCTGGAAGGCTGAGGCAAGAGGGTTGCAAGTTTGAGCCTCTACCAAGCACCTTAGCCTGACACTCCTAAGACTGAGGATATACAGTGTAAATGCCCTGGGTTCAGTCAAAAGAAAGTTAAGAAACTTAAAATTTGAGTTTGATCTCCACATCCACAGTTGAATAGACCTGATCTGTCAGAGGTTTGTTCTCTAAATTGTTATTTGCAAAATGGATATTCAAAGTAGCTTTACTTATTTTTTGATGTCTGTTTTTGAACCCCTTTTATTTTCTCTGATTTTTTTAAAAAAAGTATGGATTAACCAAAGTAGACAAAATCCTCACTTTTCAAGCATAGCACAGCAGTTAGCAGTCTCATCCCCCCACCCACTGAACCCATCCCTTGTGTCCTTGCTAGTGTACCTAGCCTCTGATTTTCTATTTTGACTCAGCTGCTGAGCAGGCATGTGCCATTGTTTTTGGTATTAATATGCTTTTAACAAAAGTAAAGCAATTATTTAAAACTTTTGTGTATGATAGTACTGTCCTTTATTTTTAAATTTATCTTTTTTCTGTTTTTATTCTATGAGCTTGATTCTACATCCATAAATTATTACACTTTTAAAATACCCTTTGATCTGTTGCCATATCTGAGAAAGTGTATAATTTAATGTTTTAAGTGCCACAAGAGATTATTTTGTTTTAGTCACTCTTTAATAATGACGAGTTTACTTTTTTCCTTTCACAATTTTAGAGGCTTCTGTTTTTTAACTTCTCTAATAATCTTCCTGAAGGAATGTATTCAGAAATACTTTGTGCCATGTGCTTTAGATGCAAGGAAGGACTAAAAGATTTGAATCATTTCTAAATTTTGATCCTATGAATATATAATCTTAAACATTATTGTGAAGTAATTTTACTTCCTTCCTTAACTAACTCCCAAATTGCCCCACAACTGACTTACTGTTTTTAATCTAATGAGAAGAAAACAATTCCTTGATCACAAATTGTGCAACAGGAACTGACAGTGGTTTTTTGTTTTGTTGTTGTCTTTTTGAGACAGGGTCTCTATGCAGTTCAGGCTGGCCTGGAGCTCACTTGGTAGCCCAGGTTGGTCTTGAACTCAATGATCCTTCTGCCTCAGCCTCCTGATTACCAGTGTGTGCCAGCACACCTGCCTTCTAACAGTGTTTTGAAAACACAAATGCTTTCATCTGGAAAACATAACTTCAAAACAAGAAAGTAGTGGTTATAATTAGGTGGTGGTGGTTCAAACTTCTAATAGTTTCCACTTGTTCTGTATGCTGTTCAGAATGATTTTGCATGTTCTTGAGTTACATGCTGTGAGTTAGATGCTGTAGAATACTTAGTGGGTTTAAGGGTCTACACGGTGTTCAGGGTCTCACTACTAGATCACACTCTAGTGATCCACGTGTTTACAGCCTCCCAAGAGCTGGGATTACAGGTGTACACCCACCACACCCAGTCTCAGTTGCCATCTCAGCACACCCCAGGGGTGAGTCTGGCATGGTAGGCCTAGGGATTGAACCCCCAGCCCCTGCGCCTGCTTGCAGGTGCTTTTATCCACTGAGCTATTTGGCCAGCCCTATGGGTGGTTTTAATGATAAGAAAGGCAAAGGGTTTCAATTTACTTTTAAACTTTCAGGCATTATGACATTCTTGAAGATCGAGTTCCTTCAGGACTTATTGTTGACTACCGCAATTTGTTGACTCAGTGTGAAGAAAGTTACAGGAAATTTTTAAACCTAAGAAGCAGTTTGTCAAATTGTAATTCAGACTCTGAGCAGGAAAATATCTCCATGGTGGAAGGATTAAAATTATATTCAGAGATTGAACAGTTCAAACAAAAGCTAAAACTCATTGAGAATCCTTTGTTGAGGTATGTGTGTTTTTGTTATTCTTAACTAGTTAACATCTTCTCTTACTGGCCCTCTGACTGAGAACTAATAGGCCCTTTTGGTTTCTTTAAGATATGTTTTTGGTTATCAGAAGAACTCTAATATCCAAGCGAAAGGTGTCCGTCCAAGTGGCCAGAAGGTTACCCATGTGGTCTCCTCCACTATGATGTCTGGTTTGCTGTGGTCTCTACTCAGGGACAGGCTTTGTGGGGAACCGTTTAAGGAAGATACCGAAATTCAGGTAAAGAAAATTTCTTGTTCCAGGTGCCTCCTTTTGATCCCAGGGTTTATAAATTTTACAGAATGTTTCCAGGAGTTTTCTAGAGCTGGTTTTCTGAAAAATGGCTAGTAGTGAGAATGTTATCCTTTCATCAGCAGCAGTGACTTAGCAACCATGCATTGGCCTTACTATCTTGTTTATGAAGATATACTTACTTAGGCAATTTTGGCTCTGTTTTTGGAGTAAAGCATGAAGGCATTTGGAGAAATATGCAGTTTGCTTTTGGGTGATGTATATTCGCCATATGTTCTTTTCTAGTTCCATAGTGATCCATTGTCTGCTATAAATGCCTGCTATGAAGGTGACACTGTTATTGTTTGTCCTGGCCATTATGTGGTACATGGCACATTCTCCATTGCTGACTCAATTAAATTAGAAGGTGAGTATGGAAGATCACACAATCAACTTTCATGCATGCTACCATAATGACTGATCTTACTGAAGCTTCACCTTCACTATGGCAAAAATGTGATTTCACTCAGGCAAAGTGGCATATACCTGTAATCCCAGCACTCAGGAAATTGAGGCAGGACAATCAGTACAAGTTGGAGGCCAACCTGGGCAACCTAGTGAGTTCAAGACCAACCTGAACTGCATATCAAGACTGTGGCACCAGAGAACAAACAAAACAACAAATCAGTGATTTCAGCCCAGTTCGTTTCATGTGGGTTGCTTTGAAATCTTTACTTAACATGCTTTACTTATAGGGACTCAGGAGATAGCTCGGTGGGCAGTCTAAGCACCTTGCCTGGAAAGCACAAGGTCCCAAGTTCAATCACTGATACCACATGCTGTGCTGGACCTGGAACTCTGGGTGCAGCCATGCTGGCCACCAAAACCGGACATGGTGGTGCATGCCTGTAATCCTCGCACTAGGGAGACTGAGACAGGGGGGGTCACTGTGAGTCTGAGCTGCCTGGTGAGACCCTTTACCAATGAAAGAGTTTTTAAAAATTAAAGCTTATGGGGATCAATCTAGTGTTTGAACAACTTGAATGTTAGATCTTTGTGGCAGTATATATTTTGGAAAGGTGTTTTTCATATGTTAAAGAATTATTGAAATTATACCATTAGAATTCTAAATTATAGATGGCTTGTGGAAAAGAAATCAAATTTTTAAAATAGAAAAATATTCCCAGCAATACATTTTTTGTTGAGTACGTTTTAAAACTTGTTTGTTTAGTACTTTTTATTATCTTACTTACCCTTATATATATTTTCTAGCTATCTTAGTACCTGCTCTGCGCCCTGCTCTGCACCCTGCTCCGCTCCCTGCTCTGCACTCTGCTGTTCTCTTGTCCTCTCTTGAGATGGAGTCTCACTGTGTAGTGCAGACTGGTCTTGGACTTGCTTATGTAGCCGAGGTTGGCCTTGAACTTACAGTGATCCTCTTACCTCAATCTCCTAAGTGCTAGGATTACAGGTGCATACCATTTTTGTTTTAAATTTAGCATATTTTTATGAGGTATTAATTCAAATTGATATTGTAAAAGTTTGTAGTTGTAAGATCTTACTGAATGTCATAAGTGCTGTATTTTGTGTATTGGCCAAAATATCCTAGTGAGAACATTGTCAGAAGACTGTTAAAAAATATTTTACTTTACTCTGTGAACATGGGCTTTTATAGCAACTTGTGAGATCATTACCTGTTCTATCCATCCTTTGACTTTGTAACATGTTTATGATTTTGTGTCTCTGGATGTGACTATACAAAAGACAATAATTATGAAAATAAAGAAAAATCATGGAAAGCCATGAGAATTGAAATAGACCACATAAAATGAAATTTAAGGTTTTTCATTCTCAAAAATATATTTCAGGATGCAACTTAAGACAGTACTCACAAGTGAAATAAATAGACTTAGATGTGTAAACATATTGTTTCTATGATGTGAGAAATTGAAAGAATATATAAGGTCTAAAATGTACAATAGATATTGTGAGATAGAATTAAATTTAGGATACTTTACAGTTGTTCATCTTGCTCTTGTGTATTTACTATAATGTGTCAAATGTAGATGTACCTGTTCAATTATCAGAACAACATAGTTCAGTGTCACAAGTGCCTGTGTGACAAGTGGAAGGTCCTGAGTTTGATTCCCAGTACCAAAAAAATAAAACAAAGGTAATAATGCAAAAACATCACACATTATTTTTGGGTTTGTGCAGCTGTTTACAAGCTTTTTTAAATTTTATATAGTCAGATTTTTTAATCTTTTTTTTTTTGTATTTAGCACAGGATCTACAGGGTCTCACTACGTAGATCAGACTCATAGTGATTCTCCTGTTTTCAGCCTCCGAAGCACTGAGATTACAGGCACGCACCCCCATGCCCAGTTTCAGTCACTGCCTCACCATGCCCCATTGGCGGGGCCAGCATGGCACTCCAGGATCAAACCCCGGCTGCTGTGCTCTGCCTAAACAGGTGCTTTAGTCCTCTGAGCAATCTGGCTGGCCCTTATAATCAGATTTTATTGCTACATTTTAGGTATATATAATGATCACATTCATCATGGAGAATTTGTACCTCTACAAGATATAATTTGTTTCTTCTTCCCCCCCC